AATCAAAATTCGACATTAATGGAATTGTAATGATTGAGTGGTTTCCCTGTGGTCAGATTGTTAACTAACACTATTACATTGAAATACTAAAAAGACTTCGTGAAGAAATTAGGAAAAAAAGGCCACAGTTGTGAAGCGATGGATGGCTGTTGCACCAGGACAATGCACCCGCTCACACCGCACTATCTGTCAAGTTGCTCCGGGACAAAGCACCCGCTCACACGGCACTGTCTGTCAAGCAGTTTCTGGCAAGCAAAATTATTAGTGTGATAGGGAATCCTCCTTATTCGCCTGATTTGGCTTCATGCGACTTTTTTTTATTTCCTAAAGCTAAATTTTGTTTAAAGGGAACCCATTTCACCTCAATTGAAGAGGTTCAGGCAAAAACGGAGAATCGTCCGAAAGGACTTCCAAAAACCTCGTTCCAGAATTGTTACCAGCAAAAGCAGCGCCGAATGCATAAGTGTGTGAATGCTGAAGGGGACTACTTTGAAGGTGATAATGTCACGGAAAACTGATTCTGCAGGTACAATGATTTATTGGACTAGTCTCGTTACTTTTGTGTCACACCTCGTATATGCGTTGCCATATAAACGAGTCAAACAGCTTTACTCGATCGAATATTCATTACAAAGCTGATTGCAAGAAATGTTGATATCAAAAAGTAATAATTCTGTATACAAAAGCATTGCTACATTAATTGCAAATGAAAATGAATGTTAAAACGTATTTTAAATTGTAATTAAAATAAAAAATAGCTATTTGCAGAAATATTTAAATAAATGTAATTTAAACGAATACAGCTATTTGAGCAAATAATGTTCAAAATATATCAGTAACGGATTTTTTAATAATAATCACGACACGATTGAAATACGTCAACTGAAATATCGAACGACTATGTTATTATTCCATTATTTTCATTGCAAAATTATTTTTTGAAATGAAATAACTGTTCTTCAGTAAGAAAACAATTATAAAATGGAATAATATCTCTGAAATAATATTTCGCATAATGTCATTTCAAATGTGTTCATATTTGAGATCTATTTTGATTTTCTAGATTTATTTTTAGATCTTTTTGAAATGAATTTTCAGACATATTTATGATTTATTTTAAGATTACTTTTAAGAACAGTTTTAACATAAATTGTGAGATCAATTTTAAAATAAATTTTAAGATCAATTTCAAAATCTATTTTGAGATTAATTTTAAGATAAACTTTAAGATCCAGTTTAAGATTAATTTTGAAATTTATTTTGAGTTCTATTTTAAGATCTATTTAAGATCGACTTGCAGATCAATTTTAATACCAATTTTAGCATATAATTTGGGATAAATTTTAAGAACTATTTTCAGATCTATTTAAACTCAATGTCAAGATCAATTTCAAGATCATTTTAATTTATTTAGAATCAATTTTAAGACTATTTTTGAAATTTATTTTAGCATCAATTTTAACATAGAATTTATGATGAATTTTAAGATGAAATTTGAGATCAGTTTTGAGAATAATTTTCAGATCAATTTAAGCTCAATTTCAAGATCTGTTTTAATCTGTTTCTACTTCGCAGTATTTGAATTAGGAGCGCAACTATTAAGCAATGTATCCAGTTTGATAAATTTAACCGCAGAACATGTATAGTTAATGAGAAAACAAGTACAGTAACAGAAACACGACGAAAGATCAAATTTCATACTAACTGCAATGTATTGCCAGCCAGTGTTTACTCTAACGAGTAGCGCTTGCTCGTCTATGATGTAAGCCAATGTTCCAACTGGACTCACGCCGGACATCTGAAAGTATAACGAGGTAATATGACTTAACTGTTGCTTCATATCATATGGGATTAAACTTGTTAATATCACCGACAGTTTACCTTTGTCATGGCTTCTGTATTCTGGAAAGTTACTGCTCCTGGTACAATCTTTGTCGTGCTTTCTAGGGGACCTCTGGTTGCTGTGGATGCAGCGCCTGTAACATGATTTGGTACTAAATTTGGTGTTTAGAAATGATTTGGTATTAAAAATGCAAATGATAGATCTTAGTAAATTACTTCAAATTAATCACTTAGCTTATAACATTGAGTCAGACTCGTATACTTTACATATGTGACAAACATACGAGTAACTTGTATTTGCAGAATTCAATGTTGAGTTCAATACTTATGATCAGCACAACTGAAGATTGTTAAATGCAAGATATACTTAAAATTTCAACTTTCTTTATTTAGTTTAACATTGCAATAATTAGATAGTTAAGACTGACTCAACTGTAGAGAAAATTGTAAGTTAAGGGATTAAATTGTAGAGATTATTTGGGATTTGGGGACATGAAATCTACAAGTCTGGAGTTTTATGAGTTTAAGAGTTTTCAGGTTATTTTGTGCGGCAAAATTTTTATAGATTCTGAAATTTTTTTATTAATGTACCAGGGAATTTAGGAATTATTTAGGAATTCAGGGATTCAGGAACCTAAATCTAAATTTAAGGACTTCACTTAAATCTAAGAATCCAGGTGTTTAAAAATCTAGGTACATTGATCTATGTTAAGGAATGCACAAATTTAGGTATCCAATAATTATTTACTAGATACCTAGGTGTTTAGGAATCCACAGATTTAGGTATCTACTAACTTATGGATCTAGGTGTGAAGACCTAACTACCAAGATCTAGCTATCAAGATTTAGCTACCTAGGATCTAGACTTAGATTTAGATTTAAGATCTAGAATCTGGGGTTTTACAAATCTAAGTATTTAGTAATCTAGGAATGCACGAATTATGATATCCAGAAATTTACTTATCTGATTTAGTTTCTAAATTACGAACTTTGAAGTACAAATTAAATACCTGTATGTTAAGTGTTTGCGCGAATTCGATTTGAATTTTTGTATACAGGCCGCGCTGGTTACCTGTGTCCAGCGGCGACACCTTGTTTGTGTTTTTTCTATTCGGAAGTATGTAACGATTATCATTTCCATTGTCCTCATAACCTCGTTCAAGTGAGCACGTGTTAACGAAAATAATATCCGATGTAATCTGTTAGTTAATATACTATTCTTTATATCTAATACTAGACATTTTCTTCACGTTTTATTTAACTCTGCCCCCCCCTCCCCCCCAACACTGTACTTGCTGTCTTATAATTTGTTTTCAAAGAAACTAAAAAAAATTTAAGTCGGAAAGAGAATAATCTCTATTTTTGAAACAATGAATATCTTATTTTTAGTATGCGTTACCTAAGTGTTCCTTAAGTTCCTTCAGCTGTTTCAGTTCTCGAAGAGCCTTCAGTTCATCCAGATTAGTTCTTGGTGCTTGCGGTGCAACAAACGGAAATTTATTTCTCTGATATCGGCAACACTTTACTTAAATAAATACAACAAACTAAGAAGATTTAGATTGTTGTATGACTTACATAAAAATTTCTGTACAAAAATCATCAATGTATTTATACATGTCCATGTATACATGTGTACATACAAAATTGACACGTATGAAGGAAATACCTACTTTTCAGCATTTTTAATTGTTTAATATTTCATTTTGAATTATAATTTTATTGTTTAATTTCAATGGCGATTAAATCTTATCCCTTCACACGTGTGGAGCTATAGTTTGAAAATAAAAAACGAATGAATGACTGCATTTATCGAATATTTAAATGATATAAAACATAAGAATAATTAACGATTGTTCAAAGTAATATTTCAAAAATCAGCTTTGACTACTACATATACACTTTTTATCTTTCTTCAAAGTAGTGCGTACAGCTCTTCTGTCTTTGCGTTCTTTCACGACAGCATTGTTTATTATACGAGCAACAAATTCATCTCTTATGTTAATTTATTTTGTAAATTTCTCATTCGTTTTCACAGACAAAAATCTGAAGGGTTCAGGTCTATGGACCCTGCTGACCAATGAATGTGACTATTTCTTATATGACCGTAGCTCCACACGCGTCAATAATCAGATAAATGTTCTAAAAATTTTTCTAAAATTAAGGTAAAGTAAATAAACTTACAAGTTCGTAAACGGGGCAAGTGCGTATACAGGCTATTTCATATTGTAATAAGAATGGGTCATTCCACGCCAAATCGGTCACTTTTGGAAGTCACCATCTCCGATTTTGCTCCAATCGAAATATGTTGTAGTCCATGTGAAATTGGGGGGGGGGTTTAAAGTCATCATTTTGCCGGTTTCGAATTTGTTAATGAATGACAAGTCGTCAAAGTTGGCAATTTTTGCTCATTTTTTTTGGCGAAAATGGGGTCCACTCGGGAATTTTTTTCTCAGAAACTACTGAAACGATTTAGCTATATTTTTTTTGTTTTATTCGTGAAGGTTTGGGCTATTTTAAAATATTTTTTTTAACTTTGTCAATTTGTTATAAAATGTTGAAAAATTTAAACAAATTCTTTTTTTGCGTTTTTTTCAATGAGGGGCGTAAAGGGTTAAAATTAAAAAAAAATATGGTCATATTCTTTGAAGCTTCCCCTTTAAAATGAGCCCTTCAGAACGATGGAGACTCGAAAATTGACGTCTCTATAAGCTGGAAACGGACGCGGGGTACCCCCATTTCACATAGGCGAGTCGCGCGTTTAGCTATTATGTTCGGTTGTTTTATATCACTGGCCTCAAAACTATACAAGAAGACTTCGTACGCGATTAAATGACTCTGTTGGTACCTTGAAAAGT